AAAAAATTTTTAAAAAATTCTTTTTTGTACTGAAAATTATTGATAATTTTTTCTTATTTTTTTTTTCTGATATTTGTGTAATAGTGAAAAATAACTAAAATATTTTTGTAATGTAATGTTTTTTATTTTTTTATTGGCAGATTAAGTCAAAAAACCCATGCCTACACCGCCTGTGGCAGAGAATGCTTCAAGAAAATATAAGCAGTGAGGAAATAGAAAGTGAAAACAATGGAATTAAACATTCATGAATATTAACTGATACCCATTTAAGGTGTTATTTATCTCCATGTTGCATTTGTTATTGTTTGTGAAGTACAGTTTGGCCTTCGAGTGTCCAAACATAGTAGTCATCCAGATCTCTGTCATGCACATTGGTGAATGAAAAAAAATGTAACTCTCATGTAATTTTCCATATGACATTGATGAATAAAGAGTAATTACCCATTTCACTAATTCAAAGTGAAATTGTCTGTTTTTTAGTTTACACATATAAGAATAATGAAATTTTTATTGCAACTTTATGGTTAAGAGTGCTTTATGAAAAGTGCCAACTTCAAAGTGTCTCTGGCTATGTAACGTCCCTGATATTATAAATCTTAAACGCTCTGTTTAGCTAGAGATTGGAACAGAACTGATCATTTTTATGTACAGACACAATGAATGATCACATTGTTCAATGTGTCTGAACATAAAAGTGTCGCCATGCTTTTTTCACTGTTTTAACATTAAAATGCAATAAACGGACAACCTTGTTAGTACAAGAAGGACTCTTAGGATTACAACAGGGTCTGAGTTAAAAAAAAAAAACAGCCCGTTTGTAGTTTTACTTCAAGTTAAGCTTTTTTTCACGTTGACGTTTGTAAGGTGTGAAATCCTAATAGTTATAGTTTCTGAATGTTGAAATTAACTACTGAAAATTGGTGTTAATTATGCTGTTAACCGTTGTGTACTGGTAATATTGCTTCAAATTGACAAAAAACGTTTTGTTCATCGTCATTGTTATTTTCTGCTTTATGTCTGTCTGTTCGACAGCTTTACTGTCTTGTTTTCCCTAAAAGGGGCTAAAGGATGACCTGGTTTGTCAGACATGTCAAACACTGCTCAGGTAAAAGCATGCGGTTGACCAAGTTAGGATAGTCGCTGACCTACATAATGTCATTTCATTTTTCGGTGGGTTGGGGGCTGGCGTTTGTTTTCTGCTGGTATCTTTTGAAATATACATGTACATGTACGTTGTTAAAGACTAATGCTTCCTAATCTTAACAAGCGTACACGTTGGAACGAGATGTCATTTCTTCCTCAGTTCTGAGCGGTCAGAGAGTGGCGAGGCGGTGTAGGGACTAAGTATACGAATAATTTAATTTCAGTGGAATCTAACTAGGGCATGAGCCGACCACCCCCAACACAACATTAAGACATAAGTGTTTGCCCACAAAACGAAAGACAACCAACGAAAATAGAATAAATAAATATTTACACGCTTCATGGTAACGTATGTATCATATTTACGTAACAAAGAGGAATGAGCGCCGTAAAAACATGCGTGCGCACATATACAACGTCGCACGTACTCACAAAGTCGTGACAACAGACAAAAAACAATGAAATAAAAAATATCTTCATGTATGTATCGGTAACATATGATTCATATGAATGTAATATATAAGAAAAGCGACGTTAAAACATGCGACAGCACATGTGCATTGTCTCACACACCCACACAGTTGTGACAACAGAGAACAAACAATGGAATCAGAAAAACACCTTCACATTATTTGGTAACTTATGTATCATATTTACGTAACAAAGAAGAATGAGCGACGTAAAAACATGCGTGCGGACATACATGTATACAACGTCGCAAGCACCCACAGTCGTGCCAAAGGACAACAAACAATGAAATCAAAAAACAATGTTCACGTTCTTTGATAATGTTTGTATCATTTTTACGTAACAAAGAAGAATGAGCGACGTAAAAACAAGCGTGCGCACATATACAACGTCTCACGCACCCACATAGTTGCGACAACAGAGAACAAACAATGGAATCAGAAAACAATACCGTCATATCATTGGTAACGTATGTACATACTTACGTAACAAATAAGAATGAGCGCCGTCAGAACATGCGTGCGCACATATACAACGTCGCACCATATTTTCTCTACTTCTATGGCCGCACGAACCCACAGTTGTGACAAAGGACAACAAACAATGAAATCAAAAAACAAACAACGTTAACAACAACAACAACAACAACAATCTAAACGCAATTTGGTAACGTATGTATCGGTAACGTAGGCCTATATATCGATACATGCGTTACATGTATCAAATATTGCGTGTAGGTTGTTGTTGCCCAGACATATAAAAAGAAACCTCCAAGGACCTAGTCGACTGTTCAGCGATATTCCTGAGCTGATGTGCAAGATAAAACTGACCAATCCTAAAATAAGGCGGTTGTCTCCCAGGAAACTCTCAAGAGGTTTAAAAAGAAGAAAGAGACTTCAAAAGCTTACCATTGCAGATTGGTTGGTTCAGAGTATGGAAACATTTGGCGAATCTTTTGCATTAGTGTCTGCTTTGGAGAGTCGATGTGTTTAGACAAAATTACACACCGATTACAAAATCCTATTGTATAATATTATATAATTCTAGCATCTACAAATATACATGTATTTTTACCATATATTTTTGATATGATCTCTTTTTTTGATAGAACTTTTGTCATATATTCCAAGTGAATGCATATTTTTAGGCGTACGTTTTATTATGAATATGTGGCCTTATTGTTTTACTCTAATAAAAGATTTATTATATCACGTTTACATCCTATACTTTGAATATTTTATTTTTGTACATTGAGCTTTTTGTTTTCAGTAGTTTTTGATTGGCGTCTTTTTACACGTGTCATCCATTAAAGAACTTTTTTTTTACTTTTTTAGTTGTTGAATAAAAATTATTTAATCTAATTTTCTTGTTTTTTTTTTTACCATTTGTATTCATATTTATTTGCATGCATTTATTACACCTAAGGTTATCTAGTTACTAAAATGCACCAAGATAACCGCTTTTATATATGACTTTATGGTACAATCTGCGTATCGAGGATTTTTAAAAGTATAAAATGATTATTGATGTACTCTTGAACTGTGTTATGAAAATTCGGAGTAAATATGAGAAACTGGAAGTTCTGGAGGAAGCAACTGTGCCACCATTACGTTCACCATCTGAAATGATGAAACAACCAGTGCCCATGTAGAACCCCTCCGTATCAAGATTGGTGAAAGTGCGGTCAGTGCTTCTAGGTGTTAATGTAGACCAAACTTGATCTATGGACAGACATTAAATATCCCACATTTCTGCATCCTACATGCTTCACGCCAGAAACTTTGTGTCTTTGAGAAATCATCTCACTGACTCCTCTACCGCTACTGTCATTAATGCCCTTGTCACATCTAGATGGGGCAATTCACATCCTCTTCTCTATGGATGTCCTCATGAAAAGGTCACGCTAATTTGACCATCTGTTTCCAACACCTTGTAAGGTTAGATGGGACGGCTCATTTGCGGTAGCAGCACCAAACGAATGAAGTGCACTTCCATTTTCATTACGTATATTCCCTTGCCTACACTGGTCTATCGTTTCATTGTTATGTTGGCGCTTCTCTCGGTTGCCGAATTTTATTGTGGATATTCTTTAACTGTTTATCTTCATGCACCGTAAAAATTGTTTGGCCACATCACATATTGAAGGAAAGAGCTTTTCTAAACGCTTTTATTCGTATCAGGTGGGGGACTAGTAGCCTATAGTTTCCCCTCAGAGCTTTTAAAAGGAATCGAACATTTAGCTTTTAAATAAATTTTACAACTGGAAATTTATGGTTCTTGTGTGTTTTATTGTTTAGTGGATATTTCTTAACTAATAAATGACTAACTTTTAATTATTCATGTGTATATTTCAAATAGATATTCTTTGGTTAATATATTACACAGTGCAGTCTATTGAATACCTTTGGATTTTAGACCCTAAATAAATATCATGATCATTATGAATTTTATTTGATACAAAATTACCTTGAATCGTTTGACAGACGGACAAAAGCCACGCTATTCTGTTGCTCGCAACGTGAATCGCCATTGCTGTGCTGAACAACGCCAATCGCCACTGGTTTCATTTAAATTAAGGTTCTTTTAGTTTGAATATATCTATAATTGGTGGAATGCAGGTGTAAATTTGACAAAACGAACAGTAGCGATAGCATTTGGCATATCTGTGGTTTCATTTTTGCTTCTCTGTCCTACCCTGAGGTTCATATCTGACACGTGCCAACTTCTTACTTCCCAAATGTCCTTATCAATATGATTTCTATTTAAGGACAGTGAGACTCAAGGCTGCATAAATGGATAAGAGGAAATGAAAAAAAAAAAAAGGCCTACGTCGTTTCTGAAATTAATATAATGATACTTTCTCTTAGCAGCTCGATTAATGCCACAAAAAATGAAACTGAAGTTGCCACTCATACTATTGTGCTTATCTTGTTAAACATCAGTAATCTATCATGGTAGTCGCAAAGTGACGTAAGTCTCTTTCAATATGTGATAGAACTGCGAGGATAAACCATTGTGATATGGACAAACTTCTTAGACTTCATAGGGAACCATAGACTAAGACCCCATTTCCATAGATTTTAGATCGATCTATCCCTGTGGGGAGTCTCACTAGATTACTGTCAGCTTAGTCGGCTTAAGCGTCTGTCCCGCCTACTGAAAGCTGTAAGGGGGTAATTAACTATGGTGCGCACTCGGCTGACTGCAATTTAGCGTGGACCCCCAGGGAGTTAGGTCGATCTAAATCTTAATCTCTGGATCGATCTAAAGCTCTGGAAATACACCCTAAGACGCGATTCTTAATGTCTTAGACCCCATTTCCAGAGATTAGATCGATCTACTTTAGATCGACCTAACTCCCTGGAGGTTCACGCTAAATAGCTGTCAGCCGGGCGGACACGAAAGTTAATTACCCCCTTGCAGCTTGTAGTAGGCGGGACGGACATTTAAGCCGGATTATCTGACAGTAATCTAGTGAGACTCCCCGCGGGGATAGATCGATATAAAAGCTCTGGGAATACATGTACATCACAGGTGTTTGAAAATGTACATGTACATGTACATGTAGGTTTAAAACAAGCGCCCCTGCATGGCCCTTAAGTTTTGAATTTCCCTGGTCTAGTATTAAAACACTTGCAAATATCATAATCAAACCAGAAATGTGCTTCGTTTTCAGTCTGCTTTATTAGTCAATAATACAGTACAAAAATATATTTAAAAATATCACAGAAAAAAGCGTAAAAGATATCAATATAAAAATACAGTTTGAGAAATGTAATGAAACCTGAGATATCTTTAAAAATAAGAACAATTATCTGTAAAAAAAGACTGGAGATTTGTCCCTCCCGAGTGAGATCAGTCTAGCTACTT